ACAAGTCTCATTGAGGCATTTGTATGTACATTAATTGGAATGAAAGACTTTAGCACCTTCATATATCCATCTTTTCTTTCTTGTTTCCCGTACATCATCCCACAAGTCTCATTGAGGCATGTGTATGTACGTTAATTGGAATGAAAGACTTTTAGCCACAAATGACTATATATGTTCACAAGTTAAATTGATTTGAGACTATTTTTTGCATTTTGTTGCTATTACTTGCAGGATAAAATTCCTGCCCAAAAGGAAATATTGCAAGACAAAATGGAAGAAGACTTGTCAAACATGGTAGAGATATTTTTGCTTCATTTTATCTTTAATTTATGATTATTGATATCATATACAGTATAATTATGGAAGTACTGTTTACCTTTCCCTTAATTCATGTTGGATGTTTTCATTTCATTCCTTGATCTCTTTCTTGAGTCATGTTTCCTTCAGTATTATGGTCCATCACTGGCCTTGGAAGGTAGGAAAGCGGCCATGAATGAACCAATTAAACAATATACTGTAGTTCTACAATTTTATGAACTATAGTAATGTACGCTTTTCATTATATATATATATATATCCATGGATCTATATCTCTTGAATCATGTTTAATTCTCTATTTTGAATCAAAGCCAGCTTGCTCTTTTATTTTCAATTTCTCTGTGATTTATTTTTTCCTCTAATCTGCATTTATTTTGCTTCTAAATGAAGGCTGAATTCAGTAGACTTCAGCAAACTGAAATAAAGGAGGAGACCATGCGTGAAAAGTATGAAGTTACTGAAGAAGGTGTAGAGGTGTGATCTTTCTCTTAATCCTCCATATTTCCCATTTTTTCTTTTTGTTTGAAATGCACCATATCACAAGTACCCCTTTGTACTCTGTTTATTTATAAAAACCCATTTTGCTGCTTAAAAAAAAGTCATAAAGGGAAGTGCTTGTTTATGCACATCAGTCCTACCTATGAGTGTTGATGCATCCTTGAAAAATGATTAAAACAGCATATATTTGAGGAAGTCTAGAGAGGGTTATTTTAGTCTTTGTTTGTAAGTATTTATCAAAATGATATAATTTTGAGTCTTTTTTACTCCTAATTAAGACAATGATGAGTGTTGATATATATTATATTAATAGACTTTTAGCCACACATGATTATAAATTTTTAGAAGTTTAAGGATATTTCATGTTTTATTGCTTGCTCTTAGAGGGTAAAATGGTAGAAGATATGTTGGACGAGGCAGCTAGAGACATTTTTGCTTCATTATCTTTAAGTTATTATTGTTGATATTCTGATTATGTTATCCGCCATTCCACTGATCTCGCATTCTCACTTTCATAATTTTGCAAATGAAGGACAAGAAGGAAAGAACCTTCTGCCCTGGAGAATGTTTAGAGAGGTTTTCATTTAAGGTGTGATCTTTGTCTTACTCCCTCCATATATCCATCTTTCCATTTTTGTTTCCATTACATCATATCACGTTATTGAGGCAGGCAAGTAGGTATCTACGTCTGTGTGTGTGTGTGTAAATATGTTTATAATAAAATGACTTTAATCCTGTGCATATGATCATGTTCAATTCTGAGGATATTTAATTTCATGTTTTTTTGCTTATACTTGCAGGATAAAAGGACAGAAGGGCTGTCAGATGTGGTAGAGATGTTTACGCTACATTATCTTATATGTTACTGTTGTCGATGTTGTAATTATGGAATTACTTAATTTTCTCTCTAATTGCAGGGGAATGAAGAATTGACTGAGGTATATAGAAATTTTTCTCATAATCTTTTAATGTTATGGAATTAATATGTTAACTGTTAGAGAAATCTGCTGAAAATAACTCTTAGAAAGTCCAACATGTTTATTTATTTATTTAATGTTATCCATTGATATCTGTTTCTCAAATCATGTTTCCTTCAGTGGGAAGTTTTGTTTGGAAGCGAGGAAGTTGCCATGAATGAACCTAGTCATCCTGATGATGTAAGTTCTACAATTGCATAGACTCTGCTAATGAAAAAACTTGATGACATGGTCAAGATTAATTTCAGACTTAAAAGGCTAAGAGAAATGGAAACACATGTTTTTCCATGCTTACACTGCTATTGATCTCGCTTTTTGTTTCCACTACATCATGTCACGTTATTGAGGCAGGCAATGTGTGTGTGTAAACATGTTTATGATAAAAAGACTTTAATCCTGTGCATATGATTATGTTTAATTCTGAGAATATTTAATTTCATGTTTTGTTGCTTTTACCTGCAGGATTGCTTTTACTTGAAGGATAAAAGGGCAGAAGGGCCGTCCTATGTGGTAGAGATATTTACGCTTCATTATCTTATAAATTACTGTTGTTGTTGTTCTAATTGTGGAATTACTTAATTTTCTCTCTAATTGCAGGGGAATGAAGAGTTGACCGAGGTATGTAGAAATTTTTCTCATAATCTTTTAATGTTATGGAATTAATATGTTAACTGTTAGAGAAAGCTGCTGAAAATAACTCCTAGAATGTCCAACATGTTTGTTTATTTAATTATTTATTTTCATGTTATCCGTTGATATCTGTTTCTCAAATCATGTGTCCTTCAGTGGGAAGCTTTCTTCGGAAGCGAGGAAGTTGCCATGAATGAACCTAGTGACCTTGATGATGTAAGTTCTACAATTGCATAGACTCTGCTAATGAACAAACTTGATGACATGGTCAAGATTAATTTCAGACTTAAAAGGCTAAGAGAAATGGAAACACATGTTTTTTCATGCTTTCACTGCTATGCTTTCTGTTTCAATTGCATTGTATCACGTTATTGAGGCAGGCAAGTAGGTATCTACGTCTGTGTGTGTAAATGTGTTTATAATAATAGGTTAAACCTTCATTTTGGTTCCTTAACTATTGTACGGACTCCCAATTTAATTCCTCAACTCAAAAAATCTCTGATTTGGTCTTTTACTGTTTACCATTTTTATTTCAATTTAGTTCTTCTGTTAAAAATCTAATGACGTGTCTCATTAATTAACTGAAATATGATGACGTGTTAAAATAACGTGCCACATCAGATGCACGCATGAAAAAAGTGATGACATGGAAAAAAATAATGTCAAAAAAAGCTTTAAAAATTCTTTTTTTTTTTTCTTTCTTCTCTTTCCCTTTCTTTTCCCCTTGGAACCCAACGCTTACTGGGTTCGAACGAACCCAGGAGGATGCCGCCTGGGTTCGAACGAACCCAGGAAGACGCCTGGCTTCCTAGGTTCTTTCGAACCCAGGCTGGCTTCCTGGGTTCGTTCGAACCCAGGTGGATGCCTGGTTTCCTGGGTTCTTTCAAACCCAGGAAGACGCCTGGCGTCCTGGATTCGAAGAAGAGCAAAAAGTAAAAAAAAGTTCTCTTTTTTTTTTTTTCTGTGGATCTTGTTGTTTCATGGTGATGAAGAATTGTTTGACGAAGGAATTGATTGATGAAGAAGGCAAAGCAAGATGAGGAACTGGGAACTGGGAAAAAAATTTTTTTTTCTCTTTTTTTTTTCGCTGTGGATTCTTGCTGAGGAACTGAGAGAGCTCTGTTGTTCTAGGTTTGAATGGGAAGAAAGGGGGAGAAGGGTTCAAGCTTTGCAGGAGGTGGGGCTCACTCTTTTTTTTTTTGGTTTTGAGTCAGAATCATACTGCCATATCATTTTTTTTTATAGGTGTGCATATGAGGTGTCACTCTATTTTGACATGTCATTATCCTTCAGTTAATTAATAGGACACGTCATTGAATTTTTAATGGAGGAACTAAATTGGGGTAAAAATAGTAAATAGTAAGAACTAAATCAGGGATTTTTTGAGTTGAGGGATTAAGTTGGGGGTCCGTACAATAGTTGAGGGCCCAACATAGAGGTTTAACCATAATAATAAGACTTTAATACTGTGCGTATGATTATGTTCAATTCTGAGAATATTTAATTTCATGTTTTGTTGCTTTTACCTGCAGGATTTCTTTTACTTGAAGGATAAAAGGGCAGAAGGGCCGTCCTATGTGGTAGAGATATTTACGCTTCATTATCTTATAAATTACTGTTGTTGTTCTAGTTATGGAATTACTTAATTTTCTCTCTAATTGCAGGGGAATGAAGAGTTGACCGAGGTATATAGAAATTTTTCTCATAATCTTTTAATGTTATGGAATTAATATGTTACCTGTTAGAGAAAGCTGCTGAAAATAACTCCTAGAATGTCCAACATGTTTGTTTATTTATTTTCATGTTATCCATTGATATCTGTTTCTCAAATCATGTGTCCTTCAGTGGGAAGCTTTCTTCGGAAGCGAGGAAGTTGCCATGAGTGAACCTAGTGACCTTGATGATGTAAGTTCTACAATTGCATAGACTCTGCTAATGAAAAAACTTGATGACATGGTCAAGATTAATTTCAGACTTAAAAAGGCTAAGAGAAATGGAAACAGATGTTTTTTCATGCTTTCACTGCTATTGATCTGGCTTTCTGTTTCTATTAAACCGTAGCCTGTAGTGGATGATGACGAGAATTATGACTACAGGTTGATCAATATTAAATGGCTTTGTCTACAGGTTATCTCATCTCATCGCTTCCTGTCTGCAACCTTCAACACGGCAGAGCCCTCAAGGAAGAAACTGCATTCTGGTGCAAAACCGAGCAGGCATGCAGTAGCTCCATCCATCACCTCATTTCTGAGACTTCCTCGTCCCCATTTCTGCCGGATGTTTGACTACCCTCAAGCGCTTGGTGGCCACCATAACGCTCACAAACACGAGCGAGCAGCTCAGCAAAACTCTCCAGCCACCGACCAGCAGCAATACCATCCACTTGCTCTGTTCCCCGCTGATCAACATCAACAACATACCTCATCGATACCATTTCCCCACTCCCCGGGCATGGACCATACCGTGGGTACAGTCGTGTTTGTTAACGTGTTGCAGGTACCCATCCAGCCGCAGCAGCACCTTCTTTCCAGCTCGGTCCCTCATCAGAGTTTTCTAGGCGTTTCGACTAATCCCGACGCTCTCTCCCCTACCACGGATGTGGATGATTTATCTGCCGATATTGACCTCACCCTTCGCCTGTGAAGCAACGCGTTTCTCTTTCTCTCAACTTCTTTAATCATATTATAGTGTCATATCAAGATCGACCGGTTGGGATCAGTATGATCATGCATGGTGACTATGTTGGGGCTTCATTCCTCAGTGTTTAAACTCTAATTTAGTTTTTCATGTACCAATATATATATATATATATGTAGATTCTGCTGATGTAGTTTCAACTTTATTTTAATAATATCTCTATTTTTGTCAAAAAAAAAAAAAAAAAAACTTCTTCTTTTTTAAAGCAAAAGTGGGACAAGTTAATGGGGATTTGATGAGAATGAAAGTGGTTAGGGTTAATGGGATTCCTGAATCTCTTGTTTGGTGTTCGTTTCCATATGTTTATGGGGTCTCAACATTTTTTTTTTCTTTCCTCATCGTACTAAAATTGATGTGAATGGTGATGATGATGATGAATCATGAATGTTAGTTCCTTTAGCTCTGTTCTTATATAAGAAAGTAGTAATTAAGTAGCATTGTATGATATATAGATTCGAAAGTAGTAATTAAGTAGCATTGTATGATATATAGATTCGATCTATCTTGATTATATATCTTCTTTCTCGATCTGTTGTATTTCAAACTTGCAGATTCCAACATCTCTCTCGATTTCCATTTTGCGTTCCTTTTTGTCGAAGGAACGACATAATTAAAATTCTTTCTTTGTCCATATGAAGTCAATACTAGTTTTTAGAGGTACCAATAATAATAGCATGAATTAATGGTTAGATTAAATACAAGTGTAATTAATAACTCTTTACTCAATAGAATTCATAATTTCTTAGAAGTATGTAAACAGATGCAATTAATGGTTCATACTCAATGACATAATTGGCATTCGTGTAGCTGATGGTGCAAAACTTGAGCAGAAAATGTTGATTGCTGATTACTGATTGCTTTTGAAGGGAACCACATCTGACTAGAATTTGAATTCACAATTTACTTACACAAGACACGTAATCGAGTAAAGAAGCAAATAATGATGTAAAATTTTACACTTTTTTTTATTTAAGAATGTTAATTTTGTAAGTTTTTAAATAAGGATCTTAACTTTTAAATTTTTTTTAAATAAGGATGTCAACTTTTAATTTTTTCTATTTAAGGATGTTAACTTTCAACTTTTTCTATTTAAGGATTAATTAGGTGGTGATGCTGACGTAGCTAACATATTTTTTTACGTTAAATGCTTAAATTGGTCCCTCAACTTTTATTTTTGAATCAATTCATCCTTGAATTTCAGAAAGTATTGAAAACGTCCTTCAACTTCAATTTTCAGCACCAATTTCGTTTTTCCATCAGTTAAGTGCTGATGTAGCTAATTTTTTCGCTAAGTGATTGGCTATTTTATATTTTCAATATTATGTGAAAAATTCATCATGTAAAAGATGATTATTTGGATTTTTTTAATTTTAAATAATTTAAAAACTACTTTAATTCTTAATTTTACTTTATTTATATTTAAAAATTAAAACAATTAATATATTTTCCCATTTAATTAGTCCCACCTACCATAAGTAACTCTTAATTTATAAAGAAATAACTTAACTCTTATTTAATTTTATTAAATCAAATCTCACCTACTATAATTATTTTCTAATTCATGAAAGAATCAATTAACTTTTCCTTAGTAATTCTCTTATCTCTTGGCATTACAAGAAATAAACTATTCCATCTCGCTCTAGTACTAAAGTTGAGTGTAGAGCTCTTAATGATACCATATCAGAACTTCTTTTATTACGGTGGCTTTATGAAGATATGGTATCCCCCAACCGTTTTCTATTAATTTATATTAATTGTGATAATCAAAGTGTTGTACCTATGATTTTGATGATTACAAAATACATTTGAATAACTAATTTGTTCATCTAAGCGTGTAGTTAAACTTTCAAAAGATTGCAAAATTAAGTAAACTTGGACTGCACAAACTGGACCAAAAAGCTTGTGAATTGTGTAGAGAATTGACTCTAAAAATCTATAGCTGGCTTTGGTAAACAAAACTACAGAGAGTCGGCTTTAGAACATGTAGTCGGCTTTACAAGCGAAAGTAAACCTGCAGTTTGGAATGCACAGAAAACGGAGGCAAAGTCGGCTTTAACTTTGCAGTCAGCTATGATGGCACATTTAATGCACAGCGGTCAAGTTATTTAAAGATTTTTTAATCTTTTTAAAGTCGGATTTTCAAAGCCAGTTTTACGTTTTTGTAGCCGGCTCTTGAGAAAAATAAAATGTGTAGGAAGGCTGCAAAGTTGGCTTTAGAATTCAAAGCTGGCTCTAGAGTTAAATCCGGCTCTACTGACAAGTCTGTGACTCGAACTTACTCAATCTGCAGAACATTTAATGACCCCCAACAGCTAAAAATGACTATTTTTGACTCAGGGGCTATAAATATGGTTGGTAGTAAATCTAGAATAAGTTTTTGGTTAAACCCCCTTTTTGGTCCCTCAACTATCGTACGGACCCTCGATTGAGTCCCTCAACTCAAAAAGTCCCTGACTTAGTCCCTACTGTTTACCATTTTAACCCCGACTTGGTCCCTCCGTTAAAAATCACATGACGTGTACTGTTAACTAACGGAAGTATAATTATCTGTTAAAATATTAAACCTACGTGGAAATCCAGCATGGCAAAAAAAATGATTTGGCAATAAAAATTTAAAA